ATATTGGATTGGAGCCCCCTCTATCTGAAGAAGATGATGATGGTCATGATCATCTACATCATCATCAACACAATACTGATGTACAGCATGCTGAGTGGCCTAAGGGGATGACTCCTAAGGCTAAGTTGGCCGAATCTGGCGTCGGTAAGATACATATAGGAATCAACTCTGTTACCTTATCGGGCTCCCCCTTCCCTTTGCTGTCCGCGTTTATGTTGGGGATCTTCGTTGTGTATGCGTGCAGTTAGCTGAAGAGACTGATTTATATCAGGTTCGAGCCGTCTGGTAATGAGTATCAAGATGGCACAACAAGGGAAGATATACTTGCAGACTCAGGAGGCCTCTATCGACTTTGGTAAGGCACGACGACGACGACCATTATAGGTTTGGTCCTCACTCACTGTCTATTAGGAAGTGGACATGAGGCTCATTCAGAAGTAGCACCTCCGCCATATGTTGATGATTCTGCGATGGGTAAGCTGAAGGTCCCCGGTTCGAATCCCACAACAGGCATTGCTATTCAGGTCCCTCATTCGTTGCTTCTAGTGAGCTTGTAGCGTCTGAGGAGCCCGGGGCTGCGCCTTCCCTTGTGTTTGACGGAACGCGTGATTTGGTGGAAGGCAGTCAGCACACCGGCCGGCATTATTTATTGGCATACAACATAACAGGGCTCACTTCTTAGTAATAATATTACTTCTTGCATCGCTCCGCTGTGGTTAGCGATAAAATCGGTCGTTCTCTCATATCATTTCCAATCCTATATTTGAATCGAATATCAATGATCGCACTCGTGTATGGGTTTTTCTTTGTAAGAATCTTGACAGTGCGGGAATAAGGATGGTATCTTGTCAGCCCCCAGAGCCCGGCCCCACCACCCCCTACTCTACCGGATTCACCACCTGGCCCGATACCACAATCATTGGATCAGCTCAGTGATCATGTGTTCCCAGGGAATCTATTCTCTACATGGACACCATGCGTACAGGAACCTGAATGGGATAATACAGAAGGGCAGGTGAGGTTGACTGCTTCCCAACAGGTGACCCGGTTCATATTATCATCGTTCAGTTGCCGTTGGTATGCTTGAAGACAAGCATGACATACTTGCGAACTGAATCGGTCCTATTGCGACTTTATTCGTCCATCAATTTGTCACCCGATAAAAAAGTTAAATTCCGGGGAGAGACATGGGTGAGGCATTTACATATTTCGGATCGCGCGGGAAGGAAATGTGTTATCAGATTCCTCTGGCGAAGATATACGAAGTGAATGAGTGGGGTCGTAACGCTACGAGCTCGGCGAATTCGGATTCGGACCAATCAGCGTCCAACCAGGGCAACTCGCCGCCTTTTATTGAACGTGAGTGTACATATCTTAGGTTCTAAGATGGAAGATACAAAGTAGGTCAGCATTAGGACATTCTGCTTTCAGGAACGATGACCCAGAAGCTGTGGAATCATGGTCGTCACGTGGGACTATTGACGATGCACTTCCGTATCACAGCAATGCCACGATATAGGCAGCTAGCGGCTGGAGTAATATTCCAATTAGCATCTTGGAATTCGTAATGGAGCTCTTCCAGCTGAGCTCGGGAGTTTCCGCACTTATTCTAGCGAGTTTATATACGACTTGGGGTAGAGGTGTACAGAAACCAACAATAAATTCTCAAGTCTCCTCAGAATATTCATTTTGTCACCAACACATGTTGTTGACCATGTGCATATTTTACCGCGCGCCCGGAAATTATTGGTCCCTTGACTATCAGGTTCATATCGGTAATGGTTTCATAGCGAGAACCTCGGCTATAGTCCGTGACACACGGCCTGGAGCAGTTATTGGTGGAAATCAGAGCCCTTGTGATGATGTGAGCGTTTATGTGCGGGTGAAATATTTACAATTTCGGACTTTTTCAATCAGGCGGCATTGAAAAGAATGCCTGATAAGCTTCGTAGGGTGTTCTATCTGAGTGAGCGATTATTGAGCCCTAATGAAACGAAACCATTTGGTGAGAGTCAGAAGACGGAGAAGCTAGTTTTGGAGCTCGCTGACGCTCTCAGCGTTTCTGGTAGTACACGATGTGGCGGAAATGTGGTATGAAATATGCACTCCTCTTGGGTACTGTTCGTGGGTATTCTCAGCGTGTTATCGTCGATCGTACATGAACTTGTACTGTAGAATA